GATGTAAGTGATATGGGTCTCAACTTATCAATTGAAGCAGGGAGCTCTTTTGGGATTGGTGCAATAATAGCATCTTTCCAAACCTGTGGGACCACTCCTTCCTTAAGAGAGGAATTTAGAATATCTGTGATTGGGAAACTCAATTCACATGCAAATTCTTTAATGATCTTATTAGGAATATTGTCTGGTCCAGCTGATTTGGTGATGTTGATTTTCCGCAGTTCATGATACATTTCCCACTCATAGACATGAACTCCATGGTTTTTGGGCTTCCATCTGAGGTCACGCTTGCTAAAATTTCGGTTGAAAAATGGGTCCTCTTTGCCTGGGAAAGTGGAAGGATGCCACGTGTAAAAGAGCGACTTGCAGGCTTGAGAACTATCACTTACGAAAGCCCTGTAGTGCCATCAAGTATATATTTTGTCCAAGTTCGTTTTTATGAGATATATTTTTTCCCAAAGTTCGTTTTTACGTGATATATTTTGTCCAAGTTCGTTTTCATGAGATATATTTTTCCCAAGTTCGTTTTTATGAGATACATTTTCCCCAAAGTTCGTTTTTACGAGATATATTTTGTCGAAGTTCGTTTTTACGAGATATGTTTTGTCGAAGTTCGTTTTTATGAGATATATTTTACGGAAACGTATTACCGCCACACATTTTTTTTTTCACGTACGTACGTGATAGTTTCACGTACGTACATGATAAGTTTCACGTACGTACGCGAAAAGTTTCACGTACGTACGTGATAAGTTTCACGTACCAGACTAGCGTTTAGTTTCAGTTAGTCGCGGCATGTCAACTATCACGTACGTACGTGAAACTTATCATGTACGTACGTGAAACTTATCACGTACATACGTGAAACTTATCATGTACGTACGTGAAACTTATCATGTACGTACGTGAAACTTATCATGTACGTACGTGAAACAGAAAACTTATCATGTACGTACGTGAAACTTATCACGTACGTACGTGAAAAAAATAAATAAATGTGTGGCGGTAATACGTTTCCGTACGTAATAATCGACCCAATGTAGTAGGTCTTTTAATACTTAAAACAACTTTATTTGTGTGGATCTGTTAGGGTTTGGCATGAAAATCGCGGATTTTCTGTAGCGTTATTTGCAGCCATCGTTCGCTAGCCTCGCGTTGCAGTCAGTTTGTGTGGACGAGAAATGCGACCAGCTACGCGCGACACGGCAACTTACTGTGTAGGTGCATGTAGGAACAAAGAAATGACTCCACGACGACACAAATGTGTACAAGCATTACATTCACTGTGTGGACTTCCCAACAAAAGATGTCCATATAAACCAAGTATAAATAGTTGCGACCTTTTATGGACTTGCCCACGTCCACACAATGTTTTACCCCTCTCTGGAAAACATATACGAAAACAATATATATACGTACACTTTGACAAATTATTGCGGAACAACGCCATCGGAGCCCTCTGGCCAAAACTATCGATGTGGGGGGGGGGGGAGGGACGGCATTCCCGTACGTATAGGGAATCCAACTGGAAACACGTACAACAAGTCCATTCTAAACGGTAATAATAAGTATCAGCTCGCTTTTAAAAAAAGATATATATTTCGTTTTGGTGTAAAGAAGTGTAATGACTCCCATTAGGCCAAAAAAGTCTCCGGTTTCTGGTTTGCGCGCGCGTCGCCGTAGCCATGCGCGTCGGCAAAACGAAAACGTTTTTTTTTTCAATAAAAGATGATGTCTCAAAACCGCCAAACTCACTGGTTTGACTGGAATCCTGCTGCTGCACAATATTAACGTGTTTTCAGATGGGGCTATGATCGATAATAAGCTTTATGTGGCCTCTCTGGACTCCCATATATTTGCACTAAGTTTAGTCGGGCATTATTTGCAGTCATCAGCTGACATTTGAAGCAAAAAAAACCAGGTAAAACAGAAAAAAAGCCGCGTCGCCGCACCACTTTTTGGGCAAGCTCCATACCAGAAACCGGAGACTTTTTTTTTGGCCTTATTCACATTCAACTTGCGGTTTCCAGACGTGTGGGCGCTGCAGTTCATTGCACGCAGATATACTATGTGCATGCATGCAGGTTGCCTAAGTAGTCTTGAACACAAGTACGTTTATTTCGTTGTCGCGATTATATCGTAACCAATGAACCTGGTATCTCACTACATTTGCACGGCGCACTGATTTTACGCATGTTTTAAGTCTAACTTTACTGGTCCCCATGCATATGATGCTCCGATGGACTTTTACACAATACACGGTATGTTGTACATGTACCGAATGCATACTGTACCCGTGCGGAATGGGCAAAGGGTTTACGAATTGGAACACATGCACAAAGTTGAATTGGCAAGTCAAAAGAGCTATGTTCTATCTTTTTAATTGAAAATAGAAGTGAATCTCGAACTTTAAAAACATCAAACGTTTTGAATGGCCTCTAATGCAGTAGTCTCACACCTGAAACATACATTGTTTCCTTCTGATTGTCGTATAGTTGTAAAAATACCAAGTTGATATTTTATTAGCCACATTGTTTTATAGAGCGACCATCACGGCATTATTGGCTTGCATCTATGTTTTAATTTAATTAATTCCAAAGTGCTGTTGGTTGGTGTGGAGAGCCAGCAGAGGGTGTGTTACTCCGGTCCCCCACCGGAACCTGATCCTGATAATCCGGATGACTGGATGAAGCAAGTCATGCAAGAGATACGGAAGCGTTGCCCGGGAAGGAGGCAACCCACCCCAGCTGGTAAGTCGTCCTACGATCACCCATATCTTAGGTATGACAAACAAGCATGCGGATATTTTCTATCACAAGGTTTGTGTTGTATTGAGATCGAACTTTTTTGTTTACCGAATATCAAGGTCCATCGAAGGCTGCAAATGACGTTAAACGACCGCTAAAATGAGATATGTTTCCTGTTTGCTTGTTTGCTTCAAAAATGTTACACGACTCTTTCAATTCGAACAAAACATTTAGGTGTTTTCGTGCAACTCCCTAGACTTGGTGCCAAGTCGGTAGTTGTTTTGCGTACGGTACCGGTTACTGGCTCCACGCACGCAAAATATCGCTGCAATGCGCGCAGTCTGGTTCCCAGACCAAATGATGCTGACTATTTTTGATAAATTACCGACTTGGAGAAAACGTTTTCAATTTTGTACACAACATATTGGAGTATTTTGATTTTGATATTTTGCGAATTCTATGGGAGCACTAGACTGATTGGTTCAGAGTCCAGAGTGTATTCTAGGCCGGCACGGAAGATCATTCTCATTACTTCGAGGGTTTGTACTTTGTGTTGTGTAACATCACAAAACTCATTAAAGGGCATACACGACTCAAATAAATCAAGTATATCACAATGATACATTTCTTTTCTATACACAATTGAGCAAGCTGAGTGTACTGGTCGTTAAAACGTCGCCAGAACTGCAAACATGTCCCTGACGTATTGAGATGAACTCCACATGTAACGGAATGAATCAATGAGGCCTCATTTGCATAGCGGTGCGCGATTGGATCTCACCGGAAAAATGCACTGCATATGTATTGCACTGCTTGCATATATGAATAACGTTGCTAGAACGTAATCGTCAAGTCGTTAGATTTGTCGCAACCCCGCCGATTAGGTACTAGTCGTATACCAGCCGCGCCGATGGAGCTCGACTGAAGTTCAAGGACAAAATACGGGTTTCTAACGACTTGTCATTAAGTCTAGCAACTTCCAGAGTAAATTAAAAAAAAAAAAGAAAAGATTGAAAAATCCTTTGTTGCATGGTCATGCACATTGAATTTTCTCCCAAATTCAAAATGTTTCTCACTGCCGAATTCGAGGGAGGGGGAGGCTTTTTTATATTTGCAATAACGAGGCCCTACAATCAATCTAAAACCTACCCCAGCTGGTACGGGAAAACCTACCCCAGCTGGTACGGGGAAACCTACCCCAGCCGATACGGAGAAATCTACTTCAGCTGGTACGGAGAAACCTACCTCAGCTGGTACGGAGAAACCTACCCCAACTGGTATGGAGAAACCTTATCTGACTCGTGGAAACATACCTAATTTTAAGTCGTTTTAACACTGCTGAGCGTTTACAAAAAATGTTTATCAGAACTCGCCAACGGTGGCCCTTTGGGCCACAGGTACTTCCCCGCACTACGCAAGACCCTATTCATGTCAAAACAACAAAAAAGCCACTTGCCAGACAGTGTCCAGGCAGTTGCCAGACAGTGCACTTAAAAGATAATTGACTGGCGGCTGTGGTTTGCGGCTATGAAGGGAGATGGCTGTGTCAAGTTACAGGTGTTTGTATATGTTTCAATGAGACTTGGCAGGAGGCCTGGTCGAAAGTTTGTTGAGACGGCTTGGGTGAAGCCCTGGCTGCAAAGTTCATTGAACCAGCTGATTTGGCATGGGTTGAATGAGGGTTAGATGGAAGGTGACCGTCATTGGCCCTCATTTTTCCCCCAAAAAAATTCGGTCACCTGCGTACCCAAGGTACGGAGGTCACTCTGCGCAGGGTTAAGATATCCCAAAGCGTAGGTTTGACTAATAAGCATATGGATCTGTTCTATTACAAGGTTATTGCATTGAGTTTGAACATTTATTATTTTTTTTTATCCGTTAATCAAGTTTCATCGAAAGCTGCTTAATTACCCAACTCCTCCCAATTGAAAAAAATCCATTTAGGTGTTTTTGTTAACCCCCCCCCAAGAAAACCAACAAAGATAAACAACGGAAAAACCATTGGTGTATTGTCATGCTCATTGTTTTTTCTCCCAAATTCAAAATGTTTCTGACCGCCAAATTCGAGGGAGTGGGGGGGGGGGGCTTTTTCTTATTTGCAATAACGAGGCCCTACTATCAATCTAATGTTTGTATGGTAAAATTTGCAGTTACGATCAAACTATCATTCTCTCAATATCACTGTTTTTATAAAACTATGAACATGAATAAATATTTCATTTGCTTACTAATTTGTTGCCAAAAGAGTGTTCCAGTCCGCAACCCCTTGGTATGGAGGACGGGACAATCCAAGATGATCGCATTACGGCGTCCAGTATTCTGAGCAATACATATCCAGCCCGGGAGGCACGCCTCAACAATGACAAGGGATGGTTAGCCTCGAGGTAGGTATCAAAGGGAAATACCACACCTGACACTTCACTCTCATATTCACTCTGTATCATTACAATGCCACAAAACCCTCCTGAATGTGTTTAATTAATGAACATCTAATTGCCTCAGTGGGGTTTTGTACGTTTCTGTACGTTTTGTTTTATTTTGTTTGGCATTGTTTTTCTTTTTTGCAATGGTTCTCCTTTCCATTATATAAAAAAGTTATCATCCCCGGCCAAAGCCCAACCCGGACTCATGCGCATTTGAATTGCACACTGTAACGAGTTTCAAAAATAATATTTGATTTTCAAATCCATTCCACAAGCTGATTTGCGGAGTATCGTTATTTCATTGTTCCTCATCCTCTCTTCACTCTGTATACAGTGACGACGCCTATCCCTGGATCGAGGTGGACCTCGTCCAGAGTACAGTGGTGACGGGCGTCATCACACAAGGCAGCTACAGTAGGTATGTGACTGCGTACAAGGTAGCGTATAAGAAGCAGCCCTCATCCGACCGTGAACACGTGACGGATGGAAACGGAAACGTCAAGGTAAACATCAATCTTTACTAAGTCTTGCTGTAAGCTGCATTTAACTTTCGTTCGTAAAACAGTTTTGAAAAGAAAATGTAAAGGTTTATTTTTCTCATATTTTGTAAAGGCTTTTATCGCAATATGATAACTTCATTATTTACGACTTTGTACGGTTTCATGCTCATGCTACCATTTGGCCATTCTGAAATCGTGTCTGATTATACCACGTGTGAACAAAAAAGCATGTCCTGCTTTTGATTAGTTTTTCAGCTATTTTAAAAGATTTTTCATTCAAATTCACCAACTCCATCATTCAATTTCGTCCTCGAAAAATTTCACACGCTGAAACAAAACCAATTTAGTCCAATTTAGTCCAGATTTTGGTCCCAAATAGCAAAATGCTCTGAAGCTGAAACAGAAACTTATGTCTATAATGTCTATAACATGGCTGAGAATGATCAGAAAAGTGAGTGCCCACCCAAACAAGCAGTTTACTTTATTTTATTACGGTTTGTTGAAATTCTGTTTCGAAGGAAGACCCCGTCAGCTAAGAATGCCCACTTTTTTGTAGTTTGGTCCTAGACTTCACTACAAGTAGGCTATTTTTATACAAATCTTCGTTGATTGCATTGGGATTCATTTCAGGTGTTCATCGGTAACACTGATGCCGACACCCCGGTCACTAACCTGTTTGATGAGAGTGTGGTCGCCACGGTAGTGCGCATTGAGCCTACTGCATGGCAGATAGTTGTAGCTCTGCGATTGGAGCTGCTTGGATGTCGCCGTGGTTAATTCAACTGAAGCATTCAGGTGATTCTCTCCGATAGCGCTGACAAAATTTCACTCTATATAAAAGTAAATGTGACGGTAGATAATATTAAGGTTGATAATAAATACCATGATTTGTAGGAGGAATATTTACACAAAGTAAGGATACACTGAAGATTTAGAATAACCACTACGGAATCTAATGAGTTGTTTTGTCTTGAACTTAAGAAGTATCTCTCTGAAAAAATATAGGTTTTACCGGCTATTTTAAAAGTTTGTCATTCGAATTTACTGTTTGTAATATTCAAATTGGTTAATCAACATCGATTAAGTTCAATTTCGTCTTTTGTCACACAATTTCAAATTCAGTTCAAGCAAATTGAAACAATAAGCACACACTTTCTTCTCGGGTTATTCAATTTTGTCTCATCTACGCCGAAGACGTAATTCAGAAATTCAAATCGTGTGATTGATTTATATAACTGACGATTTTGATCTCTGAATGCTGCCATTCGGCAACAGCTTTGTGATGGCGAATATTCTCGAGCAGGTGACTAAAGAGGCTGATCAAACTTTGAAATTGAATGGTAAATGACTTAATTGAATTTGATAACGGGTGTGAAACTTTGCCCGGACGAAATTGAATGTTAGAGTTGGTGAATATGAATGCAATATGTTTTTAAACAGCCGGGAAAACCTATACATTAGGGTTATGTTTACAATGTATATTAAAATTAATGAATCTATTATCGCCAAGTTTCCTACGTGGAGTGCAATATAAACAAGATTATCTGAAATTCAAAAAATGTCAAAAATTTGAAAAAAAAATTCACCTAATGAATAATAAAAGTAAAGTATATATATTTGTCGTACCTTTGTCTTTATACTGTATTTTCATTGGCCCAGGACGATCACCTGACCGGGCGATAAATATGCATGGCACACTCCCGTTGTATATCACATTGTGATATCACATGCATGTAGACTAGTCCCCGCCCCACAGTCCAAACCATTATGTGCGGACCGCGTTTAAACCAGACTATACTTGTACTCACTGGTACCCCGCAGTACTTTCACGTTCTACAATATAATGTATAGCAGTGAGGGAGCAGTGCATTTGCAGACGATATTTACTTTAATTTGGCGGCCATCGACGAGCGGCATTAAGATTATGTTTACGTTTTGATTGACTCTAGTAACGGTGCCTAGGCCTTCAGAACTTCGGAAATGCACCCTTAGAAAAACAAGTAAAACACATCATCAAGACAGAGGTATGACAAAACAGTTGTTGACTGGTGTGATGTGGGATATGACGTTTTTAACACCCTCGGGGACGCATAGCACCCTCGGCTTCGCCTCGGCTTCGCCTCGGCTTCGCCTCGGCTTCGCCTCGGCTTCGCCTTGGCTTCGCCTATATATATATATTAAAGTATTTCCGCTCTAAACAGAAACGTCTAAACTTTTGCAGTGCTTTTGTTGCATAGTTGTTTTTTATTGTATATATTAAGATTAGGCTGTTTATTGTGTAATAATCGTAAATCTTCAGTACAATATAGAACGTTTCCATGCAGTGTTCTACATAAATACATTTGAATTGTTAAAACGTGATAAAATAGAAAAATTGAAGTGGCTAGTGGTAAACCATCTTGAAAATTCAAATCTTTTAGTGATCAAACTTTTAGATTAAAGACTGGTTCATACTTTACACGTATGCAACTGCAGAGCGCAATTGACGTAAGGAAAGCATTCGTTACGAAATGCCGTGGTGTTGAAATGTGTTCAACTTTTGCGAATTCCCGGCGGGAAAACTTGGCATGACGTCACAAGGTCGCGTTCGCTTTCGTTCCGAGTATTATTATTATTATTATTTATTCGGCCAACAAATGAACAAAGGTACATTGACAATGCAAATAAAAAGTAAAAAGTAAACAAAAATTGGAAATTGAAAAGTAAGACCAGACAAGACTGAAGAATGCGAGTAGGAATGGGTCGTGGGAGGGGGAGGGAAGGGAGGGTGGACAGTTTGACAGGGGAGAGGAGATAGAGGGACAGAAAACAAAAACAATATAACATTCCAAACCGACCAGGGTAAACAAAAGTGTACTGAAACACTGTAGCCCTAAAGCCTGCCAACCCATGCTCGAAATGTCTACACAAAAAATAAATAGTATTCAATGTAAATATAAATATATAAATGAAAAAAGAAAAAAAAGAAGAAAAAAAAGTATGAACTGGTGTTGAATGTAGTCTTTGCTTAATTATGTTTAAGCATGTCATGAACCGATGTATTTTTTGCTGTCACTGTCACGATATCAGATAGTCATATAATACTTTAGGTGAATAGTATCAGGTGTGTAGTGTATTGCTGCCGTAATGCAACATCTTTATTGGCATTTGTAATTGTGGTGTTCGATATGGAAAATATTTAAATACAAATACGTGTATAGATTTATGTGTAACAAAGTTAATTGATATAACACCATGTGGTAATAACTACTGCTTAGAAGATATTAGTTCTGAGCAAAGTTGATAATGAGCAGGACAAGTTCTTCTCAGAACTAATATCTTCTAAGCAGTAGTTATTACCACATGGTGTTACCGCAAACCGAAACGATACCGATACCCCACCATGCAAAGCCTCCAATCTTATATTAATTGATATAGTTTTAGACAATATTTTTTTCAGTTATATCATTTTGACACGTGATTACTAGGATGTATGGGTCATCAAAATACCCTAATTTCAAACTAAGGGTCAATTTGTATTAAGAAGAAAACTACATGAGTATTAACACATAAAGTGTTATGTTCATTTGATGCCGAGCTGCCATAACAAGAAGCTAAGAGGAAGCAATATTTATCTCATTGAAGCACATACTTACCAATATTGTTCAATTATAATTCTAATGATTGTATACGCTTTGTGAATATGAACATGCTTGTGAAATAAAAAAAAAACCATAGAAACATTCACTCGTTTAATTTTTTAGTTGATCAGTTGATGTGCTTTGCGTATTAAAAATGACGTGTACAAAACGACTTGCTGCCTGTCCATATTTGATTGTAATGATTAAATACATCAGAAATGGAGAGAAGAAAATCCCACTTTGTACTTCTATCCGCGTATTAAGCAAAGTCTCGTAATCAAGGTACCGTTATCGTCTGTACCAACTTTATTTTACGACCAGAGAGCGCCTAGCAACACTGACCCATTCCTATAGAACCCAACGTCCCATCCTATACAATACTTTTCTTGTTTTGCTCTGTTTACTAGCTGTTTGTATATAATTAAGGCAATAAGGCCCTGAGACAAGGAGCTTAAAGATCGCAGTTTCAGTATCATAATCACCGAGCCAAGTGTACACATCGGATCGCGACGCTCCGTTAAGTTGTATCTGTGTGTATTTATGCGTGTATTCTATGGGCAAATGACTCTTTAGGCTTCCCTTCCATTGTCACGTCACGAAGAGGTTTGATTTAATTTTTCATATTTCAATCCCTTCTGACTCGTAGGGCGTATCCTATCAACACTGCCTTGAACTTTGTAGGCACAATACATGATCTTTATTGTAATATCTTTAATATTACGGCCCTCTCGATAGTGTTGGAGTCAAGACCTCAGAGTCCTAGACCGAGACCAAGACCGAGACCTCATAGTCTGAGACCGAGACCAAGACCGAGACTAATTCCCCATTCGAGACCGAGACCGAGACCGAAACCTCATAGTCCGAGACCGAGACCGAGACCGAGACCTCATTTTAAAATAAATAAATAAATAAGTAACATGCGAGGGCGCACTCAATCCAAGATGGCGGCGCCCGTGTTCCGTGAAAACTTTGAGGACCGAAATAAAAACGTAAAATCACTCAGCTTCAATCCTACTCAAGTCAAAGCTTGCCGCCACCTTCCGCCTGATGACTAACCCGAGCATTGCAATGCTCATACCAACGCTGTTGTACTTGGGAGTGGATGTGATGTTAATGGGCGGCCATTTTACAAAGGTGGGTTTGAACTCTTGGTGGTAGCAGACATGCCAATAGACTGGTTCCCCGACCTGACAATTTTTCTCGACGTCCACACGTCTAAATTGTAGGTCAGGCAGCCTCCGTGGCTAAAAATAAACCGGCATGACGACATTGACGGCCTTTTTTTCAAAGCTCGGCTTCGTTTCCGAATTTGCTTTATCACTTAAAGCTTTTAATGTTCCTATCAAATTTTTAAAATAAATCACTTGCTTCATATATCATACAGTTATGATAATACAGTTTGATTTTTCTGTAAGAAAACATTGACTAATGTTGACCTGGGATCTTGAAAATTAGGCACCCAAATAGCACTGTTAGCAGGCGGAACCGAATGAAGACCGAGTTTTGGAAAATCTCAGTAACGGTCGTCAAATTTAAAATAGTACATGACGAAGCAAAAAGTTCGCGCATACGATCCGATCGATGCACAAAATTGTCGTTGAATTTCAAGTTTTCTAAATAAAAGCAATGAATATTAATTATCAACTCATTAAAAAAAGTTTTTAATAAGCAATAAACAGTTAATTAAAACAATATTATACTCGGAAATACTCGGGCGCTATCCGATTGTCGACAAAATTCGGCAAACTTCGGACATTTTCGTAAAATGGAGGAATTCCTCCCGTTTTAGTCACGTGACGTAAATTGTAATACATGTACAATGTATTACCGGAGGCTACCTGACCTAAGATTCATCAGAAATAGTCAGAATCGTTTGGTCTGGGAACCAGACTAACATGCCGAATGATCACGCCTGCGCACAACCGAAAGATTCACCGAAACAGGCTTGGATTTATCGGTTTTACATGTTGTGCAATTTGCCAACCAAATTAAAACTAACCACTGCAAAAGTTAAGTTAGACGTATGGTGACTTGAACCTCAGCATGTATATAGACCCTGTAGATAGGCATTTTGTAAATCAAATAGTGTATTGATTCCGTTATTGCAGTGGTCTGAAATTATCTGCTCGTATCCACTAACTTTGGTCACATAGTTTTTCGTTGGTTGCACACGAGGTTGTCGGCTACGTCATGATGGGCAGTTCCGTCTCCAGCTGCATCTCATCCTTCCTGATTGGTCGGCTGATGAAGTGCGTCAGCAGGTTTGCACTCTTCATCGTTGGGGGCGCTACTTACCTGCTGGTACTAGTTTTCATGTTGGTCTGGGACCCTGACCAGGGCAGATTGTGGCATCTCGTTCTGATGGCTGTGGCGGTTGGCTTTGCGAGAGCAAGCATTGCTACGATAAGCTCAAGTAAGCCATCGCAAATCAAATTACGAGTCATTCACAAGTCACATCACAAGTCGATCACAAGTCAAATACAGTTAACCACAAGTCAATCACAAGTCACAACACGTCATTCACAATTCACATCACAAATCAATCAAATCACAAGTGACATCAAAAGAATCACAGCAAAAGCCAAATCACATGTCGATCACAGAAAGGTGACAGTGAATGAACGCTGATATATGAAGGAATGTGTCACCGATTCGGGACTGCTTAATCGTCCCTTGACTTGGGACTGAATGACTTGTGAAAAACGTGATTGACCCATGATTTGACTTGTGATTTGTTGACCTGTGATGAATTGTGATTACTTGTTTAATCTCCTTGACTTACAGTTTCTGTAACCTTACAAATTTAGGTTCACATTTTGAGTCGAAACGACTGCACATCTTTGATCTTTATTGCCATTTTTGTATATAGCTCTTTTGGGAATGCTGTTTGTATGTCAACAAGAGGCAGCGTTCGGCAATCTGTGCTTCTGGCAGTCCCTGGGCTCCGCCGCCATATTGGCCCTTGGTATCCCACAATCCATGTGTGCCTACCACGTGATCTCAATCGTCATGTGCATCCTCGTGTTCGCCCTGGGCATGTACTGTTTGCTGGAGCTGCGATTGAAGCGAGAGCAGACACCAGGCGAGAAGAAGCCTGAGAAGGAGGCTGAGGGGAAAGAAATGACGACAGAAATGTTGGCCATTGCAGAGCCGACCAACAACGAAATATCAATCGACTGATGATATGTAGAGATCCCTATCATACCTATGAACCTATCCAGGGGCTGTCTAGTATGCAGCTTTTACCATGAGCCGAGGTTAGCACCGGTGACTCGCTTTGCGCGCGCAGAATGCATATTTATGAATCATGGCGGTAAAGGTACCCATAATGCTTCCCGTTTATTTTTTTGAATGAAATGAGTCGCCCCGATCACCATTCGATATTGCAGTTGGTACGAGCAGCATAACAGCATACACCGAATAGCTCTTTGTGCAAGAATTCGTTTCAGTTGAAAATTGAAACAAAAATGTGTTTATATTTAAAAACCAAACATAATTATAAACATTAACTGACTCCAATTTACAAATAGAGCTTCTGTCAAGCTGATTATAACATGCTGTATTCGTTTTCAAATTTTACATTTTAAACTTTTTGAAATTAAAGTTTAATTTATTTACTGCAACACAGTGATTGTTATATTTTTAAATTATCAAATGTTTACTACAACACGGTGACTGTTAAAGTTCAAGGGGCTCTCGAAAGTGTTGCAAAAAGCGCCCTCTCTTGTTCATGCACGGAGCCCATAAAGCATCAAATCATTATATTGTAGAGTTTCAGGTAAATTACTGGTGGCGCTGTTTACAGTGGAGACATGGGTCAGCGTGAGGTCAGCATGCACGCACAAGCAGGCATCGCTGTCATGCGCGTGCGCAGGCAGTTGCATGCCGTGCAGATATGGAGTGTAGTGGATCGTTCACGGCCGGCCGGCTGGCTCCATGAAACTCGAGGCTCCAGATTTGAGTGTTGTTCAAGATTACTGAGGTAAATCTCAAATTATTACACTGACTAATTGTTCTGAGGAAGTGATTACAAGCCATTTAGACATTGGAATGTTATGTGATTGCCACCAAGTTATTTTGTCTGTCCTTTTATTAAATAAAATTGAACCCCGACAACAGTACACCCTACAATATTATGAGATGAACTGTTATCAATTTATTTTAAGCACAAAAGGCTCTTAAATTATTCATTTACAAGAAAACAAACTGACTCAAATTATGGTTAGAAAATAATTTTCGCTGGCACAATTTTGAATTCTCATATAATATGTCCAATTTCGTTATCATTGTACATGTACGATTACGTCCCTGTGCTGTATGTGTCGGCAGCTTAGGGTATATTTATGCACAAAGTCTATGGGCAAATGGCTCTAGAGGCTTCACCGCCAACATTTCGTATTCCAATGCCTTCTGACTCGTTCGGCTTCTGTCAATACTGCCTTGACAATCAGAGGCAAACTATATTAATTGCAATATCTGAAATATTACGGCCCTCTCGATGCGCATCGTTTTCTAAAGGTTCGTTGTATACACGGTTGTGTAATTTGCCAGACCAACCTTGATTGCTGCTGAGGATTCTATGTTTGTTACCGGAAGCCGCTTCCGCTCGTACGCGGTGCTGCAGCGTTCCATATCGATTCGTTACTGTTTATGACCACGATGGTCTTTATTGTTCAATTTCAGGACGATATTTTCTTAATTTCAAGATGCTATTTTGTTAAAACTGGAAACTGTAATTACAACGTGATTCCCATTGGCTGTTACGTTTCCCGCTCCCAGCCTTAACTCCACCCATACTGTAAGATTGAACAAATTATACAAATTGAAGCCTTCATGGCAAGTTCAGGCTCGTTTCATGATTGGCTAGGCTTGGTATGACGTCAGCCTGTTAGTTGTCTGCTGCTGCTTAGGTGCTGAGGCGAGCGAGTGGTTTTGTACTCGGTGATATACGATCAACACTAACGGAGTCTTGATCATTGCGTCAATCAGGTTTAGTCCTGGTGGTCAGGCTCTTTCCTGATCGTCGTTCGGTACTCTACATGCGTAGATAGCTGCCTATTAGGTTGCGTTTGCGTGTTGTGTGAGTCGCTCATTACACTAATCAGAACAAGTTTCAAGTAAGGTTTTAAGTTGAGGCTCTCTCGCGTTTGTTGTTTTGAGTTTTACGTGCGTAGTTGCCTATTAATTCGCGTGGTTGTGTGAGTCGTTCATAAAAATCCCACAGCGTAGTGGATTGTGCTCAGAATTCATCTGCATCTTGGACAATGGACGGAGCAGCAGCTTTTGTTCTGATGCTGTCAGCAATGGCAGGTAAGAAGAATAAATATCACCTGTTGTACATCCTCAAATTCCTGATTGGTTTGTTGGCAAAAGTAGACAAGATTTGCCATGATATCAGGATCAGGGACATAAAGTGCATCCCCCATTTCTTTTCCAACAACCCTCCCCCTAATTTTGTAGAAGCCGATCGCTATATTGAATTGGGTGATCGTATCCTGCCAGTTATTTGTTTCGTTTGACAAGATATTGATTTGGAGATATGATCACAGTGATGATTGAATAATCAACACTTGATTTTGTTGTTATCAGTGCATACAAAAAAAATCAAAAAATGGTTAATTTTTGGGTTACTACGTCAAAAGTTTCCCAACTATGTAAATGAAATGCATAAATACCTAAGACAGTTTACCCATTGGCCCATTCCTATTGGTCGAGAGCCCGTCACATTGCCGGTCTTAAATGAATCATAAAGACCTGCTAGCGGCCGGCCGGCTGGCTGGTCTTAAACACTTTTCCATCCTTTTGTCATCATCAATTTTGATTTGTTACCAAACTCCGCCCATCTACCTCAGATAATGTAATAAATGAATTGGCGCAGTGACTGTATAAACGTATGCCACTTCGCCCATGCCTTAGTCTTTCGCCAAGGCTATCGTGGCTTAGAGTGGCGGAGCTGCGGAAAAAACGAAGCGACTGGAGCAAAGATTTAGTCAGCACGCACGAGTGGCGAAGCCACGAGGCCTTTTCCAACTTGATTTTGTTGAATTATTCATATTTTTATGCAAATAAGAAGAATGCAGAAAGGTTAACCAATCACAACGCGGAATTCGCCTAGTTGCTTCCATTTGTGAAAGAAGGGTGAGTGTAAGGAAAACAGTACAAGTGCGCCCACAAGTGCAAGTGCGGGCACAATGCCCAGCCAACAACGATATAACCGTGCGTGCACGGTGCGCTTACGCACGACCATGCAAAAACGATGTCAGTCACTATTTATATGCAGTGGCTGGCCGGTCAGGAAAGTCGGGGTAAAATAATGTCTAAGTGTGTCCACCACATATGCATGCGCGTGTTTATGGTGTAAAATCGAGGACACACACGTGCAAAATCATCGAAAAATTGAGGACAGGAACCAAACCGAGGACTCCCGGTTAGAAAACGTGTACAAAAACAACGAGAGCTGTTGTTAAAAAGTTAGAGTATACACTAAGAAAAAGGGAAGAAGAACAACAGAAAATCCTCGATTTACACCATAAACAGACGTGCTGGTAAACATGTATGTATGGAGCCTTTCTGCAGCTCCATTCCCATGTACATTTGGGTAGGCATTCACTGTGTGGACTTCCGAAAAAAAGAGGTCAACATAAACCAGGTGGAGGCGACGTTGTGTGGACTATGGGCAAGTCCACACAGTGTTTCCCCATTGCTGGAAAACAGGTTTAGAGGCATTTTAGGGTTAGGTTTATCAGTGGCAGAATGAAGAGAAACACTAAAGGGAATCATAGAAAAAAAATTGGGTTGAAAGAGTTTTCTCAGTTTCACTGTTTTTCTTAACTACACGAAAGCAATAGAATGTCCACACTAGGTATGTAACGTAAACATTGTGTGTGCGTGCATGTGTACGTGTTCATCTTTTCAAACCGTGGGCGAAAAATACCAGAGAAAAAAAAGAGAACAATATAGTCCACGATTCCCAGCATACGTCCGCGATTGGAGTCGTGTACAAAACCTATGGGAGTCTTCCTAAAAAGTTAAAGAACAAACAAAAGAGGGACAATAGGACGTCCACAATCGACGGTAAACACACGTTTGGGTGCGTGCGAGCATGGGCGTGGGCGAAGTGGCAAATGGGTGAAGTGCCAATTTGGCGAACTTGGTACGATAATTTGCGAAGTGGTAATTCGGCGAAGTGGTAATTCGGCGAAGTGGTAATTTGGAGCAGTGACTGTAAAACCATAAATGAATGGCCAGGTATATAGGTTTCCTCAAATACTGATAATTTCATCAATTAAATTAACGGTGAATGAAAAAAAATGTATCTGGGACTATTTCATTGCACTTTCAATTTTTCATTAACTAACATCAGTTATTCAATAGGGGTGCGCATTTCTTTTTCCAGTTATGCGCTTTAATAATGAATAAATAGGAATGTAATGAATTTGACCATTGTCAATTAGAACACAACATTCTGATTCGAAGGTCCAGGAAACGCGCCACCAGGCGTGAACTTCCAGGCTCTATAGGAAAAAAGTGTCAAATAAGGACCACTGTGAGTAGTAGCGCCCCCATTTGTCGGTCAACCCCCTCAACCTTTCGATTCTGCGACGGCCGCGTATTAAACCCAAATAGCATAACACTAATGGTGATTCGGCTGTGCGTTTACATTCTGCTTTAGGCCCCATTATGATGGATAAGAAGAAGGCAATGTTATCGTAATATTGGGAGCTGATTGCGTCTTTTTCATGGTGTTTTTCGTAGTAGTGTTGGTCTCGTGCCATCAAGTCTGCTTCATCGGATCGGAGTACAACCCACAATCTGGTATCCCATCCCGTTGGTTCTTACCGTACGAAGATCCGTGCGAATGCACCGCCATACGTCTCGGTGGGATGCGCATCCCTGCTTCGTCATACCGTCAGGGGGCGCCTCACAACCTGAAGGAGCTTTTCCTGAGTGAGGATTCTGACGAAATTCAAGCTTACTTCAAATGTGAGCCTGCAGAGAAAAACCCAGGTAATAGACACATGTTATGTTTGTAATGCAAAACAGTAACACATTTTTATTAAATTTAGACGCCAGACGTCACTTAAGTTCTCTTTAAATTCTCCAATAATGTGATTCGTGCTTAAGTACAAGTACCCTTATACAAGTGTGTCTTTACCATCTCGTGGAGCTGATCATTTTTCATTTCTTTTAAGAAGTATTAAATATTAATCATGTAGTATGCGGATATATTATATGAACCAATCACCACGAAAAAGCCATTTTTGAGGTGATGCCACACTCGCGCGCGGCCTCAAGCGAGGACGCTGCACGCGTTCTTCAATTCAATTCAATTCAATTCAAGAAAACATTTATTCCATACTCCTTTAGAGAATACATCCATCAATAAAAAAGAAATCTGGTAAATAACAAGATAACAAAATCAATAAATATGTCTCAAAAAAGAAAGAAAATAATACCAGTAAGATACGCTATGAAGAAATGTTAAACTTATTTCGATTTATGTACAAAATAACTAAGGAGTATGGGGCTGTTTAAGTAAGCCGAGGCTTCTTAAAAACAAGACGCGCACGCATTTAAGTCATGCAGCCCATTTACAATAGTCAAGAAGTCCATTTACATGGGAAATGTTCCTCTGTGTAAAATGCAAGGTTTTTTGGAAATACCTAATGACGTATTGTTATCTTACCCAACTGGTACCCCGACACCTACCCCAACCGGTACGGAGAAACCAATCCAAGCTGGTGCGGGGATACCTTCCCCAGCCGCTACAGAGAAACCTACCACAACCGTTACGGAGAATCCTACCCCAGTTGGTACGGAGAATCCTACCCCAGCTAGTGCGGAGAAACCTACCCCAGCCGCTACAGAGAAACCTACCCCAACCGTGACGGAGAAATCTACCCCAGCTGGTGCGGGGAAACCTACCCCAACTGGTATGGAGAAACATACCCCAGCTGGTACGGAGGAACATACCCCAGCCGGGACGGAGAAACCTACCCAAGCTGGTGCGGAGAAACCTACCACAGCCAATACAGAGAAACCTACCCCAGCCAATACAGAGAAACCTACCCCAGCCAATACAGAGAAACCTACCCCAGCTGGTACGGAGAAACCTACCCCAGCTGGTACGGAGAAACCTACCCCAGCTGGTGCGGGGAAACCTACCCCAGCAGGTGCGGGGAAACCTACCCCAGCAGGTATGAATAAACATACTACAGTCGGTACGGGGAAACCTTTCCAAGCTGGTACGGGGAAACCTACCCCAGCAGGTACGAAATCATAGGTTTGACTGTAAGCATATGGATTTGTTCTATCACAAGGGTATACATTGTATTGCATTGAGATTGAACATTTTATTTCTTACCGCATATCAAGGTTTATCGAAGGCTGCTTACCCAACTCCTCCAAATTAAACTTACATTCAGGTGTTTTAGTGCAACTCCCAAGAGTAAAACCAACAGAATAAACAACGGAAAATCCATTGATGCATGGTCATGCTCGTTGTATTTTCTCCCAAATTCAAAATGTTTCTCACTGCCAAATTAGAGGGAGGGAGTGAAATGTGCAGTTACAATTGTGCGTTTTACCCCCAAACAAAGTTGGGGAGGAAATTATCATTCTCTCAATACATTTAAAAAAAAAAAAAACTATCAATATGAATAAATATTTACTTTGCTAACTCATTTGTTGCCAGCAGAGTGTTCCAGTCCGCAACCCCTTGGTATGGAGGACGGGACAATCCAAGATGATCGCATCACGGCGTCCAGTATTCTGAGCACTACATATCCAGCCCGGGAGGCACGCCTCAACAATGACAAGGGATGGTTAGCCTCGAGGTAGGTATCAAAGGGAAATACCACACTTGACACTTCACTCTCATATTCACTCTGTATCATTACAATGCCACAAAACGCTTTTGAATGTGTTCAATTAATGAACATCTAGTAAGTTTTGTTCTATTTTTTTGGCATTGTTTTTCTTTTTTGCAATGGTTCTCCTTTCCATTATCCATCATCCCCGGCCAAAGCCCAACCCGGACTCATGCGTATTTGAATTGCACACTGTAACGAGTTTCAATAATAATATTTGATTTTCAAATCCATTCCACAAGCGGATTTGCGGAGTATTGTTATTTCATTGTTCCTCATCCTCTCTTCACTCTGTGTACAGTGGCGACGCCAATCCCTGGATCGAGGTGGACCTCGTCCAGAGTACAGTGGTGACGGGCGTCATCACACAAGGCGGCTACAGTTGGTATGTGACTGCGTACAAGGTTGCGTATAAGAAGCAGCCCTCATCCGACCGTGAACACGTGACGGATGGAAACGGAAACGTCAAGGTGAACATCAATCTTTACTAAGTCTTGCTGTAAGCTACATTTAACTTTCGTTCGTAAAACAGTTTTGAAAAGAAAATGTAAAGTTTTTTTTTCTTATATTTTGTTTGGGCTTTTATCGCAATATAATAACTTCATTATTTACGACTTTGTACGATTCCATGCTCATGCAACCATTTAGCCATTTAACCATTCAAATTCACCAACTTTATCATTCAATTTCGTCCACGAAAAATTTCACACGCTTAAACAAAACCAATTTAGTCCAATTTAGTCCAGATTTTCGTCCCAAAATAGCAAAACGCTCTGAAGCTGAAACAGAAACTTATGTCTATAATAAGTCATTATGTCTATAACATAGCTGAGAATGATCAGAAAAGTGAGTGCCCACCCAAGACAAGCAGTTTACTTTATATGGTTATTACGGTTTGTTGAAATTCTGTTTCGAAGGAAGACCCCGTCAGCTAAGAATGCCCACTTTTTTTTGTAGTTTTGGTCCTAGACTTAACTACAAGTAGGCTATTTTTTATACAAATCTTCGTTTATTGCGTTGGGATTCATTTCAGGTGTTCATCGGTAACACTGATGCCGACACCTCGGTCGCTAACCTGTTTGATGAGAGTGTGGTCGCCACGGTAGTGCGCATTGAGCCTTCTGAATGGCAGAATGGTGGTGCTTTGCGATTGGAGCTGCTTGGATGTCGTCGTGGTTAATTCAGCTGAAGCATTCAGGTGATTCTCTCCGATAGCGCTGACAAAATTTCACTCTATATAAAAGTAAATGCGACGGTAGATGATATTAAGGTTGATAATAAATACCATGCTTTGTAGGAGGAATATTTACACAAAGTAAGGATACACTGAAGATTTAGAATAACCACTACGGACTCTTATGAGTTGTTTTGTCTTTAACTTAAGAAGTTTCCTCGGAAAAAAATATAGGTTTTACCGGCTATTTTAAAACGTTTGTCGTTCGAATTACTGTTTGTAATATTCAAATCTGTTAATCAACATCGATTAAGTTTAATTTCGTTTAATTTTATGTTCAATTTCGTCTTTTGTCAGACAATTTCAAATTCAGTTCAAGCAAATTGAAACAATAAGCACACACTTTATTCTCGGGTTATTCAATTTTGTCTCATCTACGCCGAAGACGTTATTCAGAAATTCAAATCGTGTGATTGATTTATATAAGACGAATTTGATCTCTGAATGCTGCCATTCGGCAAAAGCTTAGTGATGGCGAATTTTCTCGAGCAGGTGACTAAAGAGGGTGACCAAACTTTGAAATTGAATAGTAAATGACTTAATCGAATTTGATAACGGGTGTGAAATTTTGCCCGGACGAAATTGAATGTTGGAGTTGGTGAATTTGAGTGCAATATGTTTTAAAATAGCCGGGAAAACCTATACATTAGGGTAATGTTCACAGTTTATATTAAAATTAACGAACCTATTATTGCCAAGTTTCCTACGTGGAATGCAATATAAACAAGATTATCTGAAATTTAAAAAAAGGCAAAAAAAAAGAAAAAAATCACCTAATGAATAGTAAAAGTAAAGTATATATATATATATATATTTAAAAGTATTTCCACTCTAAACAGAAACGTCTAAACTTTTGCAGTGCTTTGGCTGCATAGTTGTTTTTTATTGTGTACAATATTAAGATTACGCTGTTTATTGTGTTATTATCGTAAATCTTCAATACAATATAGAACGTTTCCATGCAGTGTTCTACATAAATAGATTTGAATGAAAAAAATCGAAGTGGCTAGTGGTAAACCATCTTGAAAATTCAAATCTTTTAGTGATCAAACTTTGAGTTTAAAGGCCGGTTCATACTTTACACATTTGCAACTGCAAAGCGCATTTGACGTAAGGAAAGCATTCGCTACGAAATGCCTTGGTGTTGAAATGTGTTCTTTTGCGAATTCCGTCAGGAAAAGTTGGCATGACGTCACAAGGTCGCGTTCGCTTTCGTTCCGAGTATGAAATGGTGTTAAATGTAGTCTTTGCTTTATTATGTTTAAGCATGCCATGAACCGATGTATTTTTGCTGTCAATATAAGAAATTGAACTCACGATATCAAATAGTCATATAATAATTTAGGTGAATAGTATAACGTGTACAGTGTATTGTTGCCGTAATGTAACATTTTTATTGGCATTTGTAATTGTGGTGTTCGATATGGAAAATATTTAAATACAAATACGTGTATACATTTATGTGTAACAAAGTTAATTAATACAGTTTTAGACAATATTTTTTTTCAGTTATATCATTTTGATACGTGATTACTAGGATGTATGGGTCATCAAAATACCCTAATTTCAAACTAAGGGTCAATTTGTATTAAGAAGAAAACTACATGAGTATTGACACATAAAGTGTTATGTTCATTTGATGCCGAGCTGCCATAACAAGAAGCTAAGAGGAAGCAATCTTTATCTCATTGAAGCACATACTTACCAATATTGTTCAATTATAATTCAAATGATTGTATACGCTTTGTGAATATGAACATGCTTGTGAAATAAAAAAAAAAAACCATAGAAACATTCACTCGTTTAATTTGTTAGTTGATCAGTTGATGTGCTTTGCGTATTAAAAATGACGTGTACAAAACGACTTGCTGCCTGTCCATATTTGATTGTAATGATTAAATACATCAGAAATGGAGAGAAGAAAATCCCACTTTGTACTTCTATCCGCGTATTTAGCAAAGTCTCGTAATCAAGGTACCGTTATCGTCTGTACCAACTTTATTTTACGACCAGAGAGCGCCTAGCAACACTGACCCATTCCTATAGAACCCAACGCCCCATCCTATACAATACTTTTGTTGTTTTGCTCTGTTTACTAGCTGTTTGTTTATAATTTAAAGGCAATAAGGCGCTGAGACAAGGAGCTTAAAGATCGCAGTTTCAGTATTATAATCACCGAGCCAAGTGTACACATCGGATCGCGACGCTCCGTTAAGTTGTATCTGTACCGGCTAGGATGTATTTATGCATGTATTCTATGGGCAAATGACTCTTTAGGCTTCCCTTCCATTGTCACGTCACGAAGAGGTTTGATTTAATTTTTCATATTTCAATCCCTTCTGACTCGTAGGGCGTATCCTATCAACACTGCCTTGAACTTTGTAGGCACAATACATGTATCTTCATTGTAATATCTTTAATATTACGGCCCTCTCGACAGTGTTGGAGTCAAGACCTCAGAGTCCTAGACCGAGAACAAGACCGAGACCTCATAGTCCGAGACCGAGACCAAGACCGAGACTAATTCCCCATTCGAGACAGAGACCGAGACCGAAACCTCATAGTCCGAGACCGAGACCTCATTTTAAAATAAATAAATAAATAAGTAACATGCGAGGGCGCACTCAATCCAAGATGGCGGCGCCCATGTTCCGTGAAAACTTTGAGGACCGAAATAAAAACGTAAAATCACTCAGCTTCAATCCTACTGAAGTCAAAGCTTGCCGCCACCTTCCGCCTGATGACTAACCCGAGCATTGCAATGCTCATACCAACGCTGTTGTACTTGGGAGTGGATGTGATGTTAATGGGCGGCCATTTTACAAAGGTGGGTTTGAACTCTTGATGGTAGCAGACATGCCGATAGACTGGTTCCTCGACCTGACAATTTCCCCCGACGTCCACACGTCTAAATTGTAGGTCAGGCAGCCTCCGTGGCTAAAAATAAACCGGCATGACGACATTGACGGCCTTTTTTTCAAAGCTCGGCTTCGTTTCCGAATTTGCTTTATCACTTAAAGCTTTTAATGTTCCTATCAAATTTTTAAAATAAATCACTTGCTTCATATATCATACAGATGATAATATAGTTTGATATTTCTGTTAGAAAACATTGACTAATGTTGACCTGGGATCTTGAAAATTAGGCACCCAAATAGCACTGTTAGCAGGCGGAACCGAATGAAGACCGAGTTTTGGAAAATCTCAGTAACGGTCGTCAAATTTAAAATAGTACATGACGAAGCAAAAAGTTCGCGCATACGATCCGATCGATGCACAAAATCGTCGTTGAATTTCAAGTTTTCTAAATAAAAGCAATGAATATTAATTATCAACTCATTAAAAAAAGTTTTTAATAAGCAATAAACAGTTAATTAAAACAATATTATACTTGGAAATACTTGGGCGCTATCCGATTGTCGACAAAATTCGGCAAACTTCGGACATTTTCGAAAAAAGGAGGAATTCCTCCCGTTTTAGTCACGTGACATAAATTGTAATACATGTACAATGTATTACCGGAGGCTACCTGACCTAAGATTCATCAGAAATAGTCAGAATCGTTTGGTCTGGGAACCAGACTAACATGCCGAATGATCACGCCTGCGCACAACCGAAAGATTCACCGAAACAGGCTTGGATTTATCGGTTTTACATGTTGTGCAAGTTGCCAACCAAATTAAAACTAACCACTGCAAAAGTTAAGTTAGACGTATGGTGACTTGAACCTCAGCATGTATATAGACCCTGTAGATAGGCATTTTGTAAATCAAATAGTGTATTGATTCCGTTATTGCAGTGGTCTGAAATTATCTGCTCGTATCCACTAACTTTGGTCACATAGTTTTTCGTTGGTTGCACACGAGGGATCGAGGTTGTCGGCTACGTCATGATGGGCAGTTCCGTCTCCAGCTGCATCTCATCCTTCCTGATTGGTCGGCTGATGAAGTGCGTCAGCAGGTTTGCACTCTTCATCGTTGGGGGCGCTACTTACCTGCTGGTACTAGTTTTCATGTTGGTCTGGGACCCTGACCAGGGCAGATTGTGGCATCTCGTTCTGATGGCTGTGGCGGTTGGCTTTGCGAGAGCAAGCATTGCTACGATAAGCTCAAGTAAGCCATCGCAAATCAAATTACGAGTCATTCACAAGTCACAGTCACAAGTCGATCACAAGTCAAATACAATTAACACTAAGTCAATCACAAGTCACAACACATGTCATTCACAATATACATCACGAGTCAATCAAATCACAAGTGACATCAAAAGAATCACAGTCAATAAAAAGCCAAATCACATGTCGATCACAGAAAGGTGACAGTGAATGAACGCTGATATATGAAGGAATATGTCACCGATTCGGGACTGCTTAATCATCCCTTGACTTGGGACTGAATGACTTGTGAAAAACGTGATTGACCCATGATTTGACTTGTGATTTGTTGACCTGTGATGAATTGTGATTACTTGTTTAATCTCCTTGACTTACAGTTTCTGTAACCTTACAAATTTAGGTTCACATTTTGAGTCGAAACGACTGTACATCTTTGATCTTTATTGTCATGTTTGTATATAGCTCTTTTGGGAATGCTGCTTGTATGTCAACAAGAGGCAGCGTTCGGCAATCTGTGCTTCTGGCAGTCCCTGGGCTCCGCCGCCATATTGGCCCTTGGTATCCCACAATCCATGTGTGCCTACCACGTGATCTCAATCGTCATATGCATCCTCGTGTTCGCCCTGGGCATGTACTGTTTGCTGGAGCTGCGATTGAAGCGAGAGCGGACACCAGGCGAGAAGAAGCCTGAGAAGGAGGCTGAGGGGAAAAAAATGACGACAGAAATGTTGGCCATTGCAGAGCCGACCAACAACGAAATATCAATCGACTGATGACATGTAGAGATCCCTATCATACCTATGAACCTATCCAGGGGCTGTCTAGTATGCAGATTTTACCATGAGCCGAGGTTAGCACCGGTGACTCGCGTTGCGCACGCAGAATGCATATTTATGAATCATGGCGGTAAAGGTACCCATAATGCTTCCCGTTTATTTTTTTGGAATGAAATGAGTCGCCCCGATCA